AAAGAGGCACCATTGCTCATCATAACTATACATGTAGCATGCTTCAAGTTTGATTACTTAATACCCAGAGGCAGATTAGGGGAACAAAGAAAAAATACATATCCATTAATCAATATTAATCAGCAATAATCAGTAGTGTCCCCACCCCATAGGAATCCCTGACCCAGGTGCCACACATTTCACAATTTTGGAAAAGGCACCCCTGCTCATCATAAATGTTTGATTAATACCAAGGAGCAGATTTCAAAGCATTAATTCATTTCCAGCATATAATCATTAGAGCCCCCCTCTCCGCTACCCCTGACCCAGGGGTCTTGAAATTCACAATTCTGGAAGAAGGATCCTTGTTCATCACACCTATATACTTAGATTACCAGCACAATACCAAGGAGCAGAGGAGAAGATTTTCAAACAATTCATACAGTTTCACTATATAATCATTTGAGCCCCAACCTAACACCACAACCCATGACCCAGGGGCCATGAAATTCACAATTTTGGAAAAAGCACCCTTCTTCTTCATCATAACTATGTACAAAGTTCATTTGTTTAATACCCAGTAGCAGAGCAGAAGATTTTCAAACAATTCATGCATTTTCACTATATAATCATTAGAGCCCCGCCCTAACTCAAGAGCCCCTGACCCAGGGGCCATGAAATTCACAATTTCGGAAGAGGCATCCTTCCTCATCATAACTATGTACCTAGTTCATTGGTTTAGTACCAATGAACTAGGAGCAGAGGAAAATATATTCAAACAATTCATGCATTTTCGCTATATAATCATTAGAGCTCCACCCTTACACCTGACCCAGGGGCCATGAAATTCACAATTTTGGAAGAGGCATCCTTCCTCATCATAACTATGTACATAGTGTTATGATTTAATACCCAGGAGCAGAGGGGAGGATTTTAAAACAATTCATGTATTTTCACTATATAATCGTTAAAGCCCCGCCCTAACACCAGAAACCCTGACCCTGGGGCCATGAATTTCAAGATTTTGATAGAGGACTCAATGCTGATTACAATGATGCCTGCAGTTTGGCTGCTTGATGTCCAGGAGTAAAGAAGAAGATTTTTAAAGATTGCATTTATTTTGATAGTTTTAGCCCCCCCCCCCTCCCTTTCAGGCCCCAATGTTGTATTATACTCAGGTAACAGTTAAGGTCCTTGGGCATCTTGTTTTTAATTTTTACAAGTAATCTTTTGTGTAAGTGTCAGGTTGGGTGCAGTAATGGGATGCCCCACATAGACTTTTTCACATTCCATGTGTAATTTGCAGTGTGAGCGTTATGTTGGGTGCAATAATGGGACACTCCATCTTTCTATTTTGTTTCTCAACATTTAATACATAATAAATTTTGTTTTCTGTGCAATAAGAGCTAAACAAAAACATAGTCTTTTTTTAAAGACTTGCCCTGCCAGGTGCTGCAATTTTGCAATCATATTATATCAAGTTTATCTATCTGTCATTATATACATGACCAATTGAAAATAAGTTCAATTTAAAATAAGAATATGTATATTACATAGACATTATTGATTTCCATTTATGATACTGAAATTGACTCAATGATAAATATTTACATTTCCAATGTCTTTGTCCGAGATAAAATTACAAATTGTAAAAATACTTTATTTCTACATATATCTACTGGTTCATCGATAGACGCGGTTAAAAAAAATCACGTGCGGGGCGGGACAATTAGAGACAGAAGCCGGTCTATTAGCACGGGAATTTGCAGAATCAGGAGCATGTAAATATAAGGAATAACTGTCAGATTTTTTGGATTCATGACGATGATCAATCGATTGGCTTGCGTGATAATTTTATGCATAAACGCCTTCGGCGTTTATGCAAATTATCACGCAAGCCACTCGATTGATCGCATCATGAATCCAAAAAATTAGACAGTTATTCCTTAAATAAAACAAAATTGGAATATTAAATTATGCAAACTAAGATATTTTGTTAAAAATTCAACAAAAATTGGTTGCTATGGAGAATAATAGGTTGCAACTATATTTTCAAAAATATATCTATTTAAATCTGAATGAGTGTAAATTTGTGTTAATTCTGTTGCTATTAATGTCCAAGTAATGGAAAATATATCTTTGTTTTTAATTTGAGCAAAATTGACATGAATTGTGTAAAATGTGATATAATCAGGTATGCCAGGAAAAATATATATAATTTGCTACCAATTTTTTTTTCTAAAAATAAAGATCTTTACTTACTATACACAACAGGAAAATGATAAAAACATGTAAATCTGCTTTTGCGATTTTTTTTTAGAATTGGCAATAAAAATGCTGTTTTTTCCTTCATTTTTCATATTTGAACAGTTGTCAATTTCAAGTTGCCATAGCAACGGCAATTATTTATTTCAATGTGTATGTTTTTGTAAATTATGTGTGAAAAAAATGTCCTCAATTAAATATTTTATCAGGAGTCCATGTTCTGCAGAGATTTAAATTATTGATATCCAGGAAATTCACAAAACTTTGTTAATTTTGCTGAATTTTAAGCCTGTTTTATAATGAAATGTATTTTGTTGCTCTGAAAACCACGGCATTGGAAAAAAAAATTAAAAGTTTTTATTATTTTCGTGATTTTTTTTTAACATCAACTTATCTTTAAATATCAATTTTGTGAAATAAAAATAATCCTAAGCTCAATGATTGATGTCATAGCCTCTTAAGAATCTACACTGTACGTCTTGATCTGATTTACACTACTTCTCAAATATATTGTTGTACGATACTCCCTAAGTTTGCTGTTAATATCTTAGTGATGAGTAAAGAAGGTGGAATATTAACTGGAACTCGCTATGTGTCTTTGTAAGGATTTTTATAAAGTTTGGGAATCCATATAGATATAGTAATTCAAATTCATTTTGATTGTTGGGAATATTGAAAATATTTAAAACTGACGTATGATTTTGAAGAATTTCCTCCTTAGAAAGGGAGCTTTGGGTAGAACAGGTTTGGGCGATATCCAAATATGAAAGTCACAACGATAACCGTCACTCGCTATAAATACTCAGAATAAACAGACTGCTAATGCATCTGACCAATCAGATAATGGCATTTAGACAAATTCATGAGAAAATAAATAAAACACGTGGTCTTAAGCTTTTTTGCTTAAAAGATTTTTTTAGATCAAACTTTTTGTAAACTCTATTAAATACATATGTAGAAATAATACAGTTTATATAACAATTCTACCGTGAACAAACACGACGTGAAAAGCTTAGAATAAGTTTTAAGTGGAATTAATATCTGTCACTATGAGTAAGCAATCCCAAATGGTTACCTTGCGTTAAGAAATTTGATACAACTACCTCCGATTTTCAGTTTTTAGAGCCCGGCATGGAGATACATGTATTTTGGTACTGGGGGTGTAACAGTCTTCACTGTTTCCTTTGTATAACAAAATCATTCAGTTTCTGGTATGTGTTGGAATTTATAATGAAAAAACATTCATCTTCATTCCCTTTCACCCATATTTTACACCTTTCCTTGTGCAACTGTATAAAAAGTGTATAATCTAACACGATATTCAGCCCACACTAATGAAACCCGTGATATTTTAAAACTAGTATATACGATGAACACGTTCTTGTGTGCTGTATATCTCAAAACGGATGGAAAGTTTCCATTATCGATGAAAATCGGACGGCTAAGCAAAATTATATTTACCAACATAGATCATTTTCTGGTAAACTTTATATTGTAATTGATAATAATTTGACGTATGATCTATTCCTCCGTAAAAGATCGCATTGCGTTACACAGTTACATGCATTATTTTCCCCCTGTGATTAAAATGTCAAGTTTGTTCACAGTAAATATGTAGAGAATACCTTATTCTTCCGGACTTTTCATCTTACTTCTAAAGATATTTTGTTAAGGAAAAAAAAAAAACAAACAAAAAAACACGTGTTCTCTCTAGTTCCTTTGAAATCTGTTTTGGGTGTGTAAAAATGATGCTTTATGATTGGGCAAATATTATTTTACGTTTATATGAAGTACATGTATATTTACAATAACTTTCAGTTATCGTTCTTGACTTCCATATTTAGAAACCACCCAGACCTGTATAAAGTGGATTACCATTTGCAGAATTAAACCATAGTTAAATTAAATAAATTGAATTAAATTAAATTAAAAATTAAATTAAACAATTAAATAATGAGCCTTACAAACAAAGACAATGTTGTTACCTGCTTTGTCAGCTAGGACCAGTTCATACTGATCGTGTAATCTATCTAATTCTTTTTTCACTTCTGAATTATTGAAAAGAGAAGGATAGATGGTATTCATATTGCCCCTCAATCGCTTAATACGAGATTTCAACATCCATCTGATACTTTTAATTCATTCTGAAAACGTGTAAAAGTCCTTTCATGTTGGCTCATCGTCTGGCATAATCTTTCACAGATTTTTTATGAAATTATGACATCAGTTGAGAGATCCGGGCGCCCTAAATTTTTGCCTTTTTAAAAATGAAATACGGAGATAACGAACAGTATTCAAGCTCAAAGACCATTAAAACAATATGTGATTATTATTATCCTCATTATTAACTATATTTGCGTCGTCAGTACTGACGTGTCCAGGAGGTTAATTGTAAGAGATGTTACAGAAAGAAATATTTAAACAAGTTCCACCATCTCTTCCTCACTTTACAGAAAGCGGCTGGTACAAATAAAATCAGAAAATACAAAAAAAAAAAAAAAAAATACAACTAAATCCTTCATACAGTAAATTTTATGTACTCATTATAAATGTTTTATTTTAAATTCAAATAAAGGGAAAAAAAATCATTATCATCTTTATTTTTTCTATTAGAAAAGAAAAGAAAAGAAAAGAAAAAATACGCAAATATCTACAACCAAACCGATGCTTGATGTGTACAAACATTTTATAATGAAAAAAAAATTGTTGCAGAGGAAATCATATATTTTTCAAATACTAAAATGATTTCAGAGTTTTCAAAATTGAACATTTTACCTTACAATTATTATCTTTTTTTCAAACAAATTATTTTTACCTTCAACAGTTTGTAAACTTATTTGCATATATTTGACAAGGAAATCTGCTTATTTTTACAGTTTTCATATAATCGGGAAAATACATGATTCAAGGTTCGATTCCAAATGTCTACTTTGGTAGAAACACAGCACGTGACCCTCTGTTCTCTGTCAGATCATATTCTTCCTTTTTGGAGGAACTACTTTTTCTCGAGCTCGATCTAATAGAACTTCTTTGCGGAAGGCGCTGTATTCCAACACACCACTGTTTCGTTCTTATTTTTCTTTTTATAAGATTTAAAACCTGCAAAATTTTTCAAAAAACAGAGGCATTCTATTATCTTGAGGATTCTCACTGTTATAATTCAAAAAAGCATATTCAATCCATTAAGATATTGAAAACTGTCTTTGTCTAAGATTGATATATACATTATCAAAATGTTTTCACTAGATGTAATAAGGCCTATTTTACGGGATACCTCCTCTTCCCTTTTTATTTTAATCTTAAAGAATGACATTTTACCTTGCTATTTAGGAAACAAAACAGCACAGCAATAACTGCACCCTACAACATAAAAGGTAAGCATAGTAAACTCCAGACAATCCAGTGCCTGTATAAGAATAATAGCCTTACTATTTGTTTTCAAAAAATCAGTCAACATTTAACTTAACGACAGGTAGTATTTGTAATGTCATTGTATCAGCCATATAATGTTCAGAATGTAAATTTTAATTTGTTGTTTTTAATACAGCTATATCATTATCATAATTTGTGCTTCACGAACAAGTCAAGTTTTTGCACTTTTTCATTTTATGGACAATTTTGTAAAATTAAAAAAAATTATTGTTTTAGCGCATAAGGATTAAACTATATTTCATCCGTCGCTACAATGTTTTTTTAAAACTTCATTTGGTAAAATTTTGAAAATCTTTGAGCATCGTTCTTTTTTTTAAATAACGTGGAGATGCCCAAAAGAGATTAAAATGGCATTATACGCTGCTGGTGTTCCCCTACAAATACACGTATCTGGGACCAAAGTGTTCAAATGCTAGCAGCTTTTTAAGGATTGAAGGATTGCCATTTTTGAGGATCAGCTCCTGATATACCGGTCACGGTAGCCTAGTGGTAGGGCGCTCGCTTCGTGATCGGGAGGCACCTCCTCGGGCAAACCTAAGACGTAAACATAGGTAGTGACTGTTCCTTCGCCAAGCGCCCGGCATTAGAAGTGAAAGTCACGTGTCTTTCGGATGAGACCTTAAAGGTCATAGGAAACGATTCTTAACACTAGGATTTCACTTTTTAAACCTCAAGCTATATATGAAAGAATGTTAAATTACGAGTAGTAATATTTTTTGGCCTTTGTTCTACTGAAAAATGAAGGTGAAAACTTTTCCACTTGTTACTTTTCTTACTCGCTTTTCGTTCTTGATTTTGTGGTTTTATGACGTCACAAGAGCCCACTGATGTAAACGGAGCATTAGACTAATGTATTTCTACCATATTTTATCTAATTAATTTAAAGTATTTTTGTAAATATAAATGTGTCTATGTTTTCAGGTGAGTTATCGGATTTCGTAGTTCAGTCAATTCAGTTTGAGCGAGTCGTTAATAAGGCACGGCAACTCAAAACTGGAGCTTTTTATCGGAGGATGATCCTGATGAATATCCTTTATAAAATTACGCTTAAATTAAGCTACAACTTCGATTAACTTACTCTACTTCAAACCTTTAGAAACAAAAAGATATTTCCCTGTTTAATATTCATATACGACATACCAAGAGGATTTCATCGTCATTAAAAAAAAAGTCGTTTTTTTATTCCATGAAAAATCGCATACTGCAACATAGAATATAGCAATTTATTAAAAGTGACCTTTTCTGCTTAGAATAAACATTTTGGGTAAGCCTATAATATTATGTTAAAGAAAGATATATGACACGTATGCGGGGAATATCCCTAACGTGAATCCCCAAAATAAACATGGGGGCCAGTGGTATTGAAATCCATGATAAGCGCGAACCACTAAAATTGTCAGCGTCTTTGAAGTTTCGTTTTCCCCGTATTACTGTAAAAACGATATAGCAATAGAATCCCTGAGTTTATGACATGATCGTATTCTTGTAATATATATATATATATATATATATATATATATATATATATATATATATATATATATATATATATATATATATATATATATATATATATATATATATATATATATATAAAGAAGAAATATTGAGCCCAGAGCAAATGAGATTATTACGATGACGATACTTTGTGCAGTCACGGTTTGACTCGACAATATCGATTTTTGAAATTACTCGGTATAGTAAACAGTACAGTCCGTGATCAGTTTGCAAATCCATCCATCATTTGCGAGACTACAATTTTAATATTAATGTTCTTTTTAACAGGTAATAAAACTTTTGAAATTATATCCTTTACAAAAAAAAACCGTAAGTATAATACACACTGGAAAAATAAATAGGTTTGTATACGAATATTACGGAAGCCCGTTGAGGCCAGTTCAGAGAAAGAAATATTTTTTATTGCGTTTAAACGCAATAATTATTGCGTTTAAACGCAAAAATTATTGCGTTTAAACGCAAAAAATATTGCGTTTAAACGCAAAAATATTATTGCGTTTAAACGCAAAAAATATTGCGTTTAATCGCAAAAGTATTGCGTTTAAACGCAAAAGATTGCGATTAAACGCAATCTTTTGCGTTTAAACGCAATACTTTTGCGATTAAACGCAATATTTTTTGCGTTTAAACGCAATAATATTTTTGCGTTTAAACGCAATATTTTTTGCGTTTAAACGCAATAATTTTTGCGTTTAAACGCAATAATTTTTGCGATTAAACGCAATAATTTTGCGATTAAACGCACTAATCTTTGCGTTCAAACGCAATAATCCTTCCTTATAAGGATTTGTTTTGCATTTAAACACAACGATACTGTAGTTTCAAAATCAAACATGAATTAGTCAAAGCTTATAATTACATGTACTAGGACCCGACACTTCAACTTTAAGAAGATCCGATTTGTTCTGTGTCTTTTTGCAAAATTTTCCAGTTTTTGAAAATTGTAATAAAACAATGGCATCCTAACAACCTGAATGTCTTAAATGTATTAGAACCCAAAACTCTTAATGAAGTCTCTGATCAATTGCTTACGTGTATTACAACTTATAGAGAAAATTTCAGTGGTATTAATAGCACTTGTCAATTTGATACATGTAGTACACATCGATCAATCTGTTTTCATTTGATTTTGATCTCATATAAATCCATCACATATGTTCTTGTGTTTACTGTATGCAACCATAGGAAGGGTTATGAATGTACATTGAAGTCTAAATACTTCATCATGTTGTACGTAATTCTAACATTTCCTCAGTCCTTTCCAAAAATCCCTTTATACATGATTTAAACTTGTGACTGCAACGTATGGGACAGTTTTTTTTTTAGCAGAACAACTGACCGAAACTTCATTAAAAATGTAGAGAATAAGCTTAAGACATATCTCGTTCTTCTTAAGATTCCTTTGTTTTTACAACCCGACATTTTTTTTCTCCTCTATAAATTCTTATTAGTGATTTACCTTTCAGAGAGTGTTTGCTCGGAAAAAACTGATTCTATAAAGACAACACAGTAAAAAGAGAAAGAAATAAAAGATGTAAGTATGCGTGGGTCCATTGTACTCTGCAAGGTTTGATACAAATGACTGCCTTTAAACACAAAGATTATTGCCTTTGAACGCAAAGATTATTGCGTTTAAACGCAAAAATTATTGCGTTTAAACGCAAAAATTATTGCATTTAATCGCAAAAGTATTGCGTTTAAACGCAAAAATTATTGCGATTAAACGCAAAAAATATTGCGTTTAAACGCAATCTTTTGCGATTAAACGCAATAATTATAGCGTTTTAACGCAATAAAAAATATTTCTTTCTCTGAATTGGCCTCAACGGGCTTCCGTAGAATATAAATACTGATCTTTGATAAATATTTTAACAAATTGACGGGAAAAATACCTACCTTTTTTTTTGGTATTTTATGTATTAAATTTTACTACAAAAAAAATATCGATTTCTAATTCATTCAGTATCTACATTTGGTAGAGTCTTCATAGAAATATTTCCACATGTTAGAGCTGCCTTTTTTTAATACATAGGTCTACATGTTTAAACGGCGTTTGTACTAACTCGCATATAAATACAAGTTTACGTATAGTTCTTGCCAGAGTTGTTTTTAACCCATCTGCAGTGTGTTTAAAAATGACACGATTAAGAACTTTCAATTACTAAAAGAAAGAAATAATAAGGGGGAAGGGGGGGGGGGGCGCCAGAGATCGGGTATTGGTGGTGATGTTGTACATGAGTAAGTGAATATAAAGACAGTGTCAAATGATAAGAATTGATAAAATTGTATAAAACAGTAACACAAGAAATTTTTTTCTTGTTTTTTTTTTTTAAAGCCATGTGATATTACACAGCAGGTACGTATCGTTTGTCAAGAAAAGTGTCATACTAACAGTACGTGTTGGATTCTGTGTGAAAGTAAAACTAGGTTGTAAATAAATGATTTCATTAAAACAACTGCACTGGTTATGAAAAAGGAATTCATTCTCATTCTCCTTTCTTTCTCTCTTCCGGTCGCTTTATTTTTCTCTCAATAGATCGAAGTGTAAAACGATGAGAATGATCACATTTTGACTGATAAAACATGCAAACATCTTGCAAATATGCAATGGAATTTTTAAAAAGGAATACTAGCCTGTTTGAAGATCGTATATTTACACAAGGTTTTAGCCATGATTATGATATTCTTTAAAATTAAGCTGCAAAATGACATGATAGTTTGTAAACATTGCATTGCTTTGAACAGCGACTGGGCCTTTCTGACGTCATATGCTAAGGGAGATAAGCAACGTTAGTCAAAGTGAATTTTCACGACTGAGTAATTTTGATCGACTGTGCTGTAGCTATCTTGCGTAAAAAATCCAAAAAACAATTTCAGTCTTATTTTACCAGCTCAGATGAACTTATTCCCGTATGCAACTCAATATGTTCAGGTAATTGTCCCCTATGACCTTTAAAAACCGAGGCCCCGTGTCACGGAAGTCGTTGGCACGATAAAGAACCCTCAGTGCTCAATGGCCCTGAGTGCCGAATATTGGTCTAAATTTGAAGCCCTTCACCGGTATATGGTGACGTCTCTATATGAGTGAAAAATTCTCGAATGGGACGTCAAACAACATACAATCAATCAATCAATCCTGATACACCCCTTATCGCCTGGACATTGCTTCTATTGATTTTGCATTGTTTCCGTGTCTGAACGTTAAGCTGGTTAGACAATGGTTTCATGATTTCACTGATATCGGAAAAGTTACAGAGGACATATTTGAAAAAAAAAGTAACATGTCTTGCTATAACGATACACTTTTTAAAAGGGAAAAAGACAATTCTGTAGAACTGAAAGATATTTAAAGATTCAGAAAAGATTAATACGTACGAAATCAGATGGTCATGTCACCGAACGTCAAAAAACTTATATCCTATAACCGCAAAATAAAATATATTGCATAATTTATAAAAGTTTGTAAATGAATATGATTTTTGTATGATTGTCAGTAAAAGATACTAATTTAATCAAACATGTGTCATTCTTTAAAGTACACAATAATTTTTCATGTAAATCGCCGTGTCCGCGAATTTTTCTAACAGTACTAAAAAGTGTTAATTTTAATATAAAATAGGGCTATTTTTATATGGCCTTTCACGTTTGCCATATTTGTCACAACATGATGATAGAATTCATTAAAGTTGATTAAAAATACAATTTTGAACTAACAATAACTATCTCACTGTACAAAATAACTCGTGCAGTCTGCACGGAAAATAGAAATCCAAGCATAACAGTATTGTACATACATTACATTTAGTTAGAGAGACAAATTGACCATTTCTTCTAAAAACAAAAACCTTTCACTACAAAATATAGTCTCTCACTCAATGCTTTTTATATGGAATTTAATCGTGGGATTTTTGATCTTATGTAGTTGAATTGGTTTTGTAGAATCCATATTTCTTGTTTATTTTATTTAATTTTTATTTTAGAAATAGAGGTCCAGACAAAAATCTGCTCAAAGGCTCAGGTTCGAACCTCCTTAATATTGATTATGCCTGAAATTCATTAGTACTAGTCTTACTGATAATAGATTTTAACATGCGGACATGTATTTCAAATTTGTCCATTTTCTTTCTAAGGAACACATTTGCCTGAAATTCTTACAGAAAAAACAGTCTTTGAATTAAAGAATTATAAATACCTGATACGATGTCACTATGGCGACAATTATCTTATAGAGAAATGAGTCGTTGTTCAGAGGCATTAGTATATACTGTAATCCAAGCAAAGGAACAAGGATCAATATGGCGCGGACTGTTTTCCTACAATACAAAACTAGTAACATTAGGTACAGGATTCACTATAGGCAAAATTGGCTTGTAGTATCTTTGAAACAATCTATGAAAGCATAATATACAATTTCATGATAACAATTAATCTAATGAATGCATGCAACATTCCTACTTCTTTCAAAATGGAAATTATCCTAGTCTGTATTCCTCTTGGGAGATCTCCTATAGAGAAATTTTAGAGAACTAAGTCCAAATTCAGTCGTCACATGTAAATATATAAGGATATACAATTGATCTTCGGTATCTCGAACACTGATATCTCGTATACCATGGATATGACCAAGTGATTTGGAAGTCCCAATCGCTTATTCTTTGAATATTTTACCCTGGATATCTCGAACCTTCGGATATATCGAAGTATTTTCCGGATCCCATCGGGTTTGAGATAACGAGGTTTGAATGTAACTGTTTTTAATATTGTGATGCATGGTTCAATCGCTATCATTTTGCTGTCCTAAAAATCACTTGACATATGTCCTTATATATAAATCATAACCCGATACTGGGAAAGATGTCCACTCGAGGTCGTTGCAAGGTAAAGCGAACCAAGCTTGCGAGGACTGCATCCGCGCAAAGACCGAAGGATATTCCTTGATATTCAGTCAATTATCTTTTTGGTTACATATCTTAAATGTAAATGCATTTTCCCTACTACACATGTAAATGAATTTTTACTGTATTTTAGGTCAGAAACATCCTTTACTATCAGTAATTGTCAGTTCTATGGATATTTTGGACGTTCAATGTACACAAAAAATGAAGATACAGGAAATATATGAAGTCACAGGGGCAAAAAGTAATCCTCAAGCAATTACATATACGCGCAGACTGATAAAGCTCGGGTTCTCTCTTTATAATTTATTGAGAAGTATATCAAAACGTAAAATCTCATATCGACCTACACTGAAGTCCATGACTTTATATTAATACAAGCTTATGATTATACACTGAAAAAATCCAAATAACGAGAGAGTGCGGGAAATGGAAAACTCTTATGAACAAAGTTATCCTTAGATTTTTGCATTTAAGCAGTTAAACAAGAAGCCCATAGGATGTTAAGTGAAACCTACCTGAACTGGTCGGAATCCCTCTGGTTAAAAGACCGGATTTTGGATAAAATAATTCTCAAAATATTGATTAGGAAGATGAGATTGAGCTGTAAAATTAAATTTAAATAAGATTTTTAAAAAAAATTGATAATCTAACCAAATTTATAAATAATGTCAAATCAGCCATAAGTATAATACATGTATTTACAAAATTATGATATTATGTTATTTCAGTATAAAGAAAAAGGTTCTGTGTAGATATACATGTAACTAATATATAATGATTTTTTTTTCAATTCTAAAATATTCTCTCTATTAAAAATAATAGCATGTACGTTTGCAGCATTTAAAGGAATAAGCTCTTATATTAAAAACAATAACGTACCAATAAAGATATAATAATAGGTATTAACAGAATCCAAAACGACCACTGAATTTCCAACCAACATCTGCAAAATAAAAAGTTTGCAGTGATTCAGTATATCCGATATATGAGCAGGGTTGGTCAGGGAAAACCGGGGGTGTTATTTACCAGTGGTAAATACCGGTATTTCCTATTCAGGTAGGTAATACAGATTTCAAATAAATTGGGAATTTCTGGGAAGTATTTACTGGGAAATACTAAGTTGAAGATTTTTTTGTAGTACATGATTCAGAAATAAAATATAGATAATAAACATAAAAAATCAAGATGATTATGTCTCTAAATTTAATTGTATTAATACTCCATGTCCACTTTACCCTTAAGCATTCTGTAACAGAAAATAACTTTCCCTGGATATAAAACAAACAAGACATTTTCTAATTAGAAGTACTAGTCCTTGTCACCTTTGTATGGAACAAAAAAATTGTTTTTTTCCTTCTATATAAACACTCCAAGTACATGTTTCAAAAACAGACATGTTATTCTAACAAAATAACTCTTGACATATGTATGCTCTTGTTTTGAGAGACATCGGGTAGAGCTGATAGACTCCTAAGATTTGACATTTAGAGAATACTCTTTACATTTTACAATTGTTTAGATACTTATCTAGTTACATTAAAAGTAGCAAATGGGATTTTAAGTTTCGGTTTTATAGATATGCAAGTATTAAAATAAATGGCACTGTTCTTTGAGTAAACCGTGCTGTGATTATTTGTAAGAAGATGCATTACTATATCATTTTATATAACTAGTCAGATTTTGTTTTAAATCATAGACGATGAATATATATCTTAGCTACTAGTTAGGTGTACTAAATGTGTATACCCCAACAGACTTGATTAAAACTATGAAACATGTAGTTCTACCCCATCACCCATTATTACCCGGGAGTTACCAGTAATTCCAGGGAATAACCGGTGTTGTAGAGTAGGATTTTCCCCATAGCCAGCTTTCCCCCCGGAATCTGTAGGACCCCCCGAGGGGAAATCTTACAATAGAGCCAAATTTTCCCCTCTTTCTCATAGTAGGATTTCCCCTCTTATATCGATGCTCAAATCCTATCGACAATATTTTGGCTAAAAGTGAAAATATGAGTGTTTTCGACTCAAGAGTTGTCAAATCTAGAATGAAAGCTTAAAATATATAATTCAAATCATCGAGTCTCAACCCAATATTTTTACTTAAATGAAATTTTAAAATTAGTTACTCAAAAAGTTGTACGATTGCATGTCTCAACGTCCTCTGTCGCCGCAACGGTACATGTTTGATAAGATTTTGAAATATATATCAGGCCACCTTTAGTGATTAAATAATTTGTTTGCCCTCTAAAGGCCCATCGTTTTATCTTTGAGTCGATACTTTTTACAAAGAGTATATGAGAAAATTCTAAAATATGTGTTATTGATAGGTACCATTTTGTGAGTATTTAAATCGAATAGAGGAAAAAGAAAAAGCCAGAAACTAAAGCAAAACAAGACAAGAAACACTGCAATTGCAAACCGAAACATGAGTATATCCTCACGACCCTATTGATGTAATATTGGATTTGAAAGCAGAGGGCAAATTCTCACTTACGTTTTGCAGAATTTCAAATTTTTAGAAATAAATTGCAATTTTTAGGTCAATGGCAACAGAAGCTGTTTTGGATATTTAAAAACCAGATTCTTGGAGACACACTTACACATCAATATTATGTACATATAGTTCGAAATACAATTCGAGAAAAAAAATCCATTCAGAATAAAATTCCTTTTTGTTTCCATGGATACATTTATAAATTGGTCCAAATGATAACATTGTGTCATTTTTTTCAGAAACTAGGTTGACCAGATGAAAAGAATAAGTTTTTAATGTTTCAAGAGACATGGTTGGACAGTTATTGAGAAAAATGATATTTAAAATTTCCAATTTTAATATAGTGTACTTCATATGTTTCAATGGAACTGGTTGTCATTTTGAAGAAGGGACACCTGTAACAATGTGTCACCTCCTCCTCCCTCATACATAATACAGCCATGAATTTTTTTTTGGGGAAAATTAGCTCTGAGGGAAATCGCACTCTAAAACTATTACACAGAGCAGGATCCCCCCCCCCCCCCACGGGAAAATTGAATTTGGTGTGGGATTTCCGTAGGGGAAATCCTACCCTAGAGTCATTTTTTGGGGGGAGAAATCCTACTCTAGAGCCTATTTTCCGGGGGGGGGGACTCCTACTCTAGACCCAGCTTTCAGGGGGAAAGATTCTAGAGGGGAGAGCCGTCTCTACAAGAGCGGTACTTCCCACCTTCCTGGGAAATATAACATGTAGACCCTGCTTATGAGTCGAGCAGATATGTTGTTATCATTTGTTCCATAATGTTTCATCATCAATCTAGATTGAATTTATATTCTGAGTAAAACTTGTTCTTTTGAAACTTTTTATTTTATGCCAAAGGTGAAGTTAACGAACAGTGATCGATCTCATAAAACCTACAAATAATATAAATCTGTGAATAGGATTGATAAACACGGACCCCCGGAAACTCCAGAGATGGAATCAGGTGCCCAGGAGGAGCAAGCATCCCTCACCGATCGACCAAACCCATGCATCTAGCTAACACAGGATAATCCGTAGTCATATTCAATTTAAAAACAATCGTTTTACAATTGGTTTAAAATATGTCAGTCAAAAAACGATCCAATGAGTGGTCGTATTTACAAACAAGGTCATAATAACGACCAATGAATTTACGAAAGACTGACGTATATACAAGGTATTCAATTAAAGTTTACGAGTTTAAATAGATAATCAATAAACAACATTAATTTCCATCCGTTACATAATTTTTCAATTGTGCAAGTTCTATTTCAAGTCATAGGACTTGAAATAGGTGCAGATTAAAGTAACATATATAACAATATTTGTTTCTAAAATAAATGTACACATTCCTTAAAATTATGAATCTCATAAAAATTAATAATGAAGAAAAGTTTTGCATATTCGTAATATAGATAAGGAATACCCGTGATTTTCTTCCTCCCCATCGATGACACGGACTATGCAGTAAATACCAGTGATGAAAATGGGTAGAACTGAAGATAAAATGAAATACTTCAGAATTTAAGAAAAATATATCTTATACTTCATCAGTAGGAATTTATTTTTAAATTCAAATTGTTCATGATCTTATTCTGTGTGTCTCTGTTTGCTTATTGTCATCTTTACTGTGTTTTTGAATTCATTAATAAATTCAGTAGGTTTCAAAAAAATTATTTCCCGCATATTTTCTCAGTAATAGCCAAAACTCATGCCTTAAGTTAAGTCAGGTTGCAAAATATCTTATGGCATTGTTTGAAATATTAAAAAAACATTACAAGACTGAAATAAAACCAATTGATAGTGTATATAAAGAAATTTTCACATGTGTTCTTTTCTTTTTCCTTTTATTATTTTTTTGTTTGCTCTTTAAAAAATTCTCCAGATACATGAATGTTGTAGAAATCCATTTTTTACTGTTTTTCAATCTCACAATCGCTAAGACGCTCAACTATGACGTCATATCATATGGCCATGTATAACGAAATATTTACATTTGCATATATTTTCACCTATAGAAAACTACTATAGTATTTGAACAAGGCGTATTTAAACTTGTGCATTAACACGTTCTTCACCTGATCATAAACTCATTGTCTATTCATGAACGATCGACGTAATTTTATAGTGACGTCATAAGTGGTCGACGTATTCAACACATTCAATTTATACCGTAGAAGTTTGAAAAAAATGGAATCGTTTTATGGGTTTTAAACTATACTACCAAAATATTTGTTATCAATCAGTCACAAACGCAAACATAAGTAATAAGGTATCATTCTTAGGGAGGTTGGATTCTGTTATCAAAAGTATTGAGAATTTTTTATCAAGTATATTTTTGAAATCTATACACATAGCTTAATTAAGGACAGACAATACATTCCTCAATAATATATATTTTTTTCTAAGATTTTGTCACTGATGTATTTCTACTTTAACATGTTTACTCGCAAAATATAGAGGTACCTTATCAGGCATTTGTGCAAGATACCAGAGGACGCTGTTTCCTATAAAATCCTATTGGAAAAAAAACTTAATTAGCCAATAACACATTTGTAGTGTTCCAATTTTTTACAGACAATTAGAAACCAGTTTAGAAATCAGAAGGTAATTGAAATTTTGAAGATTTTTTTCACACAATACGAAGATATACAAAACAGATATTTGAGGAACGTATAGTCTGACCTTAAAAATCAAAACCAAAAATGAGGGTCAGTGTGCTTCGTTTGGCGCTACAGAGCATTTAATATAACCTTTTTGCACTGTTATTTCGTCTTTCACATAAATCAATTTTTCAAAGTTTTTCCTCTAATATTTTTTATTCAAATAAATTATGGAAACAAACAGTCTTTTTCCATCTTGAATAGTCTCTTTAAACTTTGTTACGACAAAAAAGTTTCAAATTACTTCGCAAAGTCAATTATTTGACCTTTTTGCACTCATAAAATGTCATTTTTCTGGCATTAAAAATTTAACAAGCAATAAAATCATTTAAAAGGAATGACATTTATCAGAATTGAAGCAGAATGGTTAAATTATCTTGTATATTCAGAAAAGAAAATTAAAAGAGGGGGTCTGTGATGTTAATTTGTAGATATAACTAGTGTTAATTTTTAGCCCAAAGTGAGCTATTTTTTCTCAGGACTTTCACAATATATTTGCTATATTTGTCCAATATGATGATAGAATTCATGACGGTTAATACAATATATTATTTAGGACCAGCATAAAACATCTCACTGCACAAAATAACTCTGTGTGCAGGCTGCATGTAAAAATAGGAATCTAAACTTAACATTACTGTACATATTTAGAAAGAGAAAAATTGATCATTTTCTTCTTTAAAAAAGACCTTCCGTTACAAAATATACTTCCTAACTTGATGCTTTCGGTATGGAATTTATTCATGGGGTTTTGATGAATATAATTTAATTAGCATTGTAGAATCCAAATTTATTGTAAAAACTAAAACATTATGCAGAATTTCTTAAATAGAGGTGAAGACAAAAATCTGCTCAAACCTCAGGAACAAACCTTGTTAAACATTTATGTAATTACGGGTTGATGCGAGATTAAACCTACATTAAAGTCCCTCGGGATTTATGGGGTTAGATCACATGATCGACCCGTATTTACATCCCGATAAGAACTTAAAAATGATATCTTATTTCTTAAGAAAACCGATTGGAAAATGAAAATCCAAGAAAATAAAGAAAATAGAAAATTCAATATTTCGTGATTGATTTCGGAATTTATTTCACTCGTGAGACATTTTTTGGGGGATATTTTCATTCATGCTCTGCACTAGTGAAACTATTTCAAAAAATCCTGAAGTAAATTCCATGTGCGTCATATCCAACCACCAAACATTGAATATTCGCTGTCTACACAAATTTTAAACTGTGGAAAATTTTTAGAGGTGAGAAAGGGCAAAACTAACACGTGTCCATATCCATGTAAACAGTATATATGGAGACATACCCCATCCAACGACGCAACATGTAATGAGCAGCTTCCGTTTATCAGAGAACACATGAACCAAACAGAAGTGTAAGAATATTCCCTCTGACAGCATCCAGGCGAAGTTACAAAGTGTTGTGTATTGTGTAAAGGCATGCAACACGTAACACCAGGTCTGAAACATACGGACAGTCAAAATCAAGAAAAGGAAGGGAAAAATTTGGAAGATTCACAATAGTGATTTTTTTTTAAGCATTCATAGTTAAAAACTTTGTCGCTTTGCAACTATTTGCTTAGATTATTCAAATATTACAAATAAATAGGTAGAAAGAAATCTTAACAAAATTAATTAACATAGTTTAATGCCATTAAGGTTCATTAACCCTCTGTAAAGAGTGAAAACTCTCACTATTATAAATGACAATCAGAATAAATGAAATAAAAACAACAAATTTTGACGGCAAAGTATACTGTAAATGTGTATATTTTATTAACAACTTAGATTTATTTGAAAAAATCGATAGCGTTGTGGCAACGCACTTTGAAAAACTTATTGAAAAAAAAAATTTTTAAAGCGCGTTAAAATTGGAACAAAATCAACGCACTTTGAAATTTTTTTCAAAGTGCGTTAAGAGTGTACATCAACATTTTTTACCATGGAGACACTTAACGCACTTCGAAAAAAATGTGCATAAAACAAATCTGGACTGAGATTTAAGTAATAGACAGCATTATTTTGTTATACTAGTATTTCTTTCGAAAAACTGATGAGTTGATCTACCCTCATCGAGAACGAGAAGATAGGAAGAAGGTCCCTCAGCCCAACTCTTTATCTTTCCTACCCAAATATATGTATTTACATAACGTATTATGATATTGGTATACTTTCTCTCAATAAATTTGAGTTATCGTAAAATATATGAAAAAAAAAATGAGATAAGCTTTCCTGAAAAAGAAATAATAAGGCACCCTATTATATTAAAGAAGAGAAGATCAAGGACTATATCGCTAAGTATCAAGCAAAATTAGCCAACTGACTATACTTTGGCCAAAGTAGCTTTACAAAATCAACTTGTATAAAATGCATATTGTTTTTCATACCTCTTAATACTAATCAAAGAACTTAAAAAACCCCTCGTACTGTGCTGGAATAAACAATTTTTTCATCTTCTAAATACTTGTCAAATAACTACAAAAAGACCATCATATTCTGCAGGAAAATTATTTTCAATAGAAAAATTATGATTCCCCCTTTTTCCCTAAGAAAAATGCGACCCCTACATCTACAGAACTCATTTTAGACTAGAAATAAGAAAAAAAAAATCGTGCTACTAAATTATTATTCCTCCATTATTACGTGTACTAAAAGACCCATTTCCGTTTTATTACATTTACGGGAATCTTTGGGAACTAGACAACCCCTAAAAATTTTTAAAACGTCTATATCTCAGATCCTGAAGTGACCAAAAAGTTATCCAAACAGGTTTAAATATTTTTTTTTATCATACCTTAAAATTTGCAAGAATATTGACCAAACTGTGCACATTTTTTTTCAAAGTGCGTTAATATGGTCGATATTAACGCACTTTGAAAAGAAATATTTTTATTTCAATGTGCGTTAATTTGGTCCAAAATTTAAAGCACTTTGAAAAAAATTTCAAAGTGCGTAATTTTTCTAAGTGCGTTGTAACATAGCGTGAAACAACATTTTATATGAATAAACTGCGGGATAATGAATCTTTAATGAATTGCTTTTTTCTTTAAATTGCAATCTTTAGAGAGTCCATTCATTTTTATTTCATTAAATTGTAATGAGATATATAAAACATTAAAACTGATTATCTTTAGTTTGATTTGAAATTACCGGTCTGGACTCCACGGAAAAGTTGCTTAACGACATCTCCTTGTAAAATACAATCCACATTGAACCACTCAGAATGTATGAAATGAACAAATTGGAATGAATTGAAACACGACTGCAATGGAGCTGCCTAGGAAAAATGGAATGTATTATAAACCTTATATTTTCAAATGAATATTTATTTAAGAACTTAAACGAAATTATTAGCTTGAAATGCGTTTTAATTTGAAAAAAAAAAACCCAAACAGTTTTCTACACTTACTTTTAATATTTTAATTTTTCCAGCTTTGAAATGGAAAAGAAATTAATGGTTTCTGACATTTGACGAGTGCGTTAAAAATATATCGATTGCACAAATACTTTAAGACTGTAGTGTCATCTCTGGGATTTTAAGATTGATATATGAGTACTTTAACAATTTCATATTCTTGATACTAAAGTATAATACAGTCAAACCTCGTTATCTCGAATTCGACTAAATATGCAAATATATCGAGGGTAAAAAAAACATAAAGAAATAATGGTTGGGACTGCCAACTCATTTAGACATATCTCTATATCGATGTTTGAGATAATGAATTTCCATTGTAAATATAAACAGACTACTTTGAAGAAGTGCAACATATATATATATATATATATATATATATATATATATATATATATATATATATATATATATATATATATATATATATATATATATATATATATATATATATATAGTCTTACTTGAACAAGCCGAAAATGGCCAGGGCAATGGTCAGCAGTAAAATGGACACAGCATAACCACTTATGTAAATATACATAATTAGCTTGATTCTCTGTATGGTAAATAAAACAAATGTAAAAAGCGACATTACTGTGATACAAAATTATTAACGTTTTAGGGAAAAAAAAACTACATTACACTCTACCATATTCAATTATCACTGTCTTTGTGTGAATATTTGTAATTTATATGTAAAATGAATAATAAGTGTGAATATTAACAGTATTTGTTTTTCATTATGTTTTTTTATAGAGAAAATGCGTCATATATCGATAATAAGAGCAACCTATGGTGTAGACATATAATTAATGTTATATTTTATTATAACATGAAAAAAATGACCTACTTCGACGTTGAGATCATGGATGTCTGCTTTAATCTACAAGAAAAGGCGATTTTAAAAAAGGTTAATTTATGTGTAAAAATTCTATGTTTTATACAAAATTTAATATATATATATATATATATATATATATATATATATATATATATATATATATATATATATATATATATATATATATATATATATATATTCATTTTAACGAACCACTTGTGTTTATTTAGTTCACTTACATCATGCATCTCCAGTATTGCTTGTGAAACACAGGGCTGATAATTGGACTTAGCAAACTCGTGTATCCCAGTGTTGCTGTTGTTCCACCAAATTCCGCTTATTTCACACTTTCTATATGAGTAACCTTTATAAAATATGAAGCAAGGGTTATTTGATATTCCTGATAATTCTGGACACTCTCCCCACTATAACTCTCTCTTTTTCAATCGACCTGCTCGCTATGAATAGGTAACCCCCGCGTTATAGATTTTTTTTATTGAGTTAAAACAGTTTTGAAGCAAATTTTTTTCATATTTCGCTTTTGGCGAAAAATGCTGATTTAACTCGTTAGAACACATGAAAATTATCACAATGTGATGAGAGGCACTCATGGAAATACGTATCGACATACACATTTTTGTTTTGTCTAGTAGTATTTGTTTGTTTTGTTGTTTAATGTCCATCTCGAGAATTTTTAAATTCATATGGAGACGCCACCGCCTGCTGTTGGAGGACTGCAAATTTAGACCTATACTCGGCACTCGAAGCCATTGAGCAGTGAGGGATCTTTTTGATGCAAGCACTTACTGCGAAACGGGATCTCGGTCTATATTCTCTTACCCGAAGGACCGGTCTCCACGTCTCGCAGTGGGATTTGAACCAGCAAATCCTTACATCGCGGCTCTAAAACAAACGCTCTAATTATCGCGCCATAACAATAATAATAAAATAATAAAAATTAACAAATAAAAAATAACAAAAAGAGAGGCAATTCTAACCAATTTCTTGTACTCTCACACTGTTGCACCATGGTATATAAAATTATTAATTTCAGTAATATTTATTATGAAAAGTAAATTGGAGAGTCGAAAATTTCTAAAATTTTAAATTGAATGGTGATATCAACAATCAAATGACGGGTTCCAAAGTGGATTGATAACTTATGCTTACATACATATTAGATTTCATATTATCACTACCCTTTACAAAAGTGAAGAGAGAAACAAGATAAACTATCTAGACTATCAATTATAACTAAAAAGAATCCATAAACGACTTTTGTTTTATCAGTGTCCTAATATAAAATCGATTGTGTAACTAACTGAACATTTCAAAGAGATGTGGAACATAATTCCTTCCTTCATTCGCGTTGGTCAGGAAGATGACCTTTGGGTAGAAAAACTGGCAACATAAAACAGTACGCTCAGCTCCTTTGATATCTTGATTCCATTTTAGGTAATGGAATGGATTTGAAATGCCAACCAAAATAGATTATTCATGTTATTTTTAAATATGGATGTGTGAAAAAATATCATTGAAACTGATGCCATTTATTTGTCATTACTGGAATTGTTCTTATAGCTCTTTTTGTAATCCCATTAAATTAAATTGACTACAGGGAATAAAAGCTTTTTACCTAGGCTATTTGATAGTTTTATTCTGCCGCATGATACATCAATTTCTTACGGATTAAATGAGAGTTCATTCTGCTGGAAAAAAAACTCCCATTTTTACGGTTCTACTGCTATAAAATACACCGTTTTTGTCACGGTTTATAATACAGTATTACATGCATGCATTATGCTGTAACCGTTTTGTTACGTTTTATATGATCTAGTATTATTATGTTGTGATATACGCACCCTTTTGTTACGTTTTATATGATAGTATTATTATGTTGTGATATACGCACCCTTTTGTTACGTTTTATATGATAGTATTATTATGTTGCGATATAGCACCCTTTTGTTACGTTTTATATGATAGTATTATTATGTTGTGATATACGCACCCTTTTGTCATGGTTATTGTGCTGTAATATACAAAGTATTGCCCATGAGTTTTATTCTGCTGTAAAATAAACAGATTTATCAAGTGTTATAATCTCACCAGAGGGATTGTCAAAGATAATAGAGGCTGGATGATTCTCTGGGCATGCGCCAAAGGCTGTGGTCCCTGCTAACGTATAGTTCCAACATTGAACGCCATCATATGTGGCATTACAGTATAAACGGCCTTAAATAAAGAGATACAAATAAATCATTGTAAATTCTTATGAAATTTTGAAAAAGAAACATCTCTTTTAAATAAAATGATAAACAAGATGTGTTTGTGAAACACTTTCTCAAATGCAAATCAAATATGTTGACACCCAAAGTAAGGTCTTGTCTCGAGGAATAAACCTGTGAAATATGAAAGGCCATTGAATAGATATGTAAAAGATTAAAGTTTTTTCAAAAGTATTTCAAACATCAAGGTCAAAGTCAAATGGTCAAAATTAATGGTGCCAAAGGAAAGGCTTTCTCCCAAGAAATACACAGGTGAAAAATGAAAGCCGAAGCACCAATCGTTCAAAAGTTATGGCCAAGGTTAAAGTTTTCCAAAAGTAGGTCAAACTCCAAGGTCAAGGTCAAAGGGTCAAAACTGTTGGTATCCAAAGAAAGGTTTTGTCACAAGGATAACATTTGTGAATTATGAAAGCCCTAGCACCAACCGTTCAAAAGTTACGGCCAAGGTTAAAGTTTTCCAAAAGTATGTCAAACTCCAAGGTCAAGGTCAAAGGGTCAAAGTTGTTAATATCCAAAGGAAGGTCGTGTCACAAGGATTGCACATGTGAAGTATGAAAGCCATAGCACCAACTGTTCAAAAGTTATGGCCAAGGTTAAAGTTTGGTAAAATTTTGCAAAACTGGGTCAAACTCCAAAGTCAAGGTCAAAAGATCATATATGGTGGTACCCAAGGAAAGGTCTTGTCATAATGAACACTCATGTCAAATATTAAAGCCGAACCCTTGACAGCGCAATAGTTATGGGCTAGGTTAAAGTTGACAACAGACAGACAAACAGGACAAAAACAATAAACCCTTCGATCCGGGGGCATAAAAAGAATTGTAATATTCAGATGTCAAACAGATGCCGTATGTAATAGCGTTTGATATAGAGATCAGTCAAAAAGCCAATAAAGTAATTAACTTCTGTCTAAAATTACTAGTTAATTGCAATTTTTAATCGAAACACCAGTGTCTTTCTCTAAAAGTAAAAGGCGAACTCCCAGTTTGTAGGTAAATGGAATTCTTGCGCATCAGAGAAAAACGCAAGTTCACACACCATGTCCGCTTTCAAAATAAAGTTAATGCATTAACAAGCAAAATCAAGGAATTGTGGTTCCCTGCTTTCGGTGTCTTAGTGGCTTGGATGCAATGATTTTATGGCATATTTCAACTGTCTTGTTTTTGTGTCCTTCAAACTTATAGATCGAGGTCATCAAGTGAAAAAAATGATATACCTTTCCGAAAGGTTTTGTAATAGGTAATGTACATGTAAAATATGAAAAGTTCTTACCAATGTTAAACAAAAATTGAAAAAAGACTGTAGGTTCAACTTAAAGATAAAGGTCACGAGGTCAAGAACCAGAGTACATTCAAAAAGGTTTTGAAACAGCTAATGCATATGACATATGAAATCCCTGTCTTCTCTCATTCAAAAGTTGTCAGCAATGTTAAAAGTTTAGAAAATTAGGTCAAATGTGAAGGTCAAGGTCTCACAGGATCACATATCATAGCACATTCATAAACTTCCTGACACAGTAATGCACTTGTCAAATATGAACGGCATATCTTGTTTCATTCAAAAGTTATTACCAATGTGATTTTTTTTTTTGGAAAATTAAATCAAACTTCAAGGACAAGGTCATGGGGTCAAACGTCATAGTATACTCGAAAACGTCTTCTCGCAGGTAACGCACATTTCAAATATTAATGCTCTATCTTCCCTCACTTAAATGTTATAAACAATGTTTAAACTTTTGAAAAGTAGGTCAAACTTAAAAATCAAGCTCATGGGGTAAAAAATCATAGTACATTTAGAAAGGTCTTGTCACAGTAACATACACCTGAAAAATAAAATCCCTATCTCTTTCCAATCATAAGTTATGACCAAGGTAAAAGTAATATTAAAATTTTGAAAAGTGGGTCACACTTCAAGGTCAAGTTTAGGAGCTAAAAAATCATAGTATATTTCGAAAGATTTTGTCATAGGTAATGTACATTTGAAATATGAAAGCCCTATCTTTTCTCATTCAAAAGTTATGACTAAGGTTAATGTTTTTGTGACAGACTGACAGACGAATGTGTTTTAATGTCCCCTCGCTATAGCGAAAGCGGATGACAAAAAAAAAACTATTAAATACATATAATATGTTATGTTTGTTTGTTATTTGACGTCCCTCTCGAGAATGTTTCACTCATATGGAGACGCCATCACTGCAAATTTAGACCTATCTCGGCACTCCATTGAGCATCGAGGGATCTTTTTGGTGCAAGCACCTACTGCGACTTGGGACCCCACGATCAACTCCTTTCTCCGCGACTCTAGAGTAAACGCTCTAACCACTGCGCCACGCGGGCAACTAATATGCTATGACAAATGAACATATATAAAGTTGTTATTTCACAGTCGACAAAGAAGTCCGTCGTATCCTGATTCCTCAGCTGCAGGTGGAATCAACTATGATTGGCAAAATTCGATCAAAATCAATATTTTGAATACATTATTACATTTTAGTAAAGCTCAAACGTGTATTAGATCTTAATATACTGAACGATCGAAAGTAAAGTAAATTTTCAAATTTGATATAGATGCTGTACAAACAATGAAAGCCTTATTTCTTAATTGAAAGGTTAGAAAAAAAATCGCCAACGTTGTGTTTAGATTTGTAATCTACATAAACATTATTAACATACATGTATCTAAAGATTACTTTTTCTGAAGAAGGAATATTTATTGGGATTTTAATGAGTGTGTGTAGGAGGGGTTAGAGAGAGAGAGAGAGAGAGAGAGAGAGAGAGAGAGAGAGAGAGAGAGAATTTTAAGAAGAGTAAACCAATCAATCTTTTAAAAACCAGTTTGAAATTGAGTGCATAGAAAGAAAATCAATTTCCTTCAAGCACGATCAAAGTAGGATCTAGAAAGGAAACGCTATTTTTTGCCAAATAACCAATAAACACGCTTATGTTATTAATTTCCATGCTTATGCATAGAGTAAGTGAATTAAACTTTTCAATCAAGACAAAGGGAAAAAACATCTTAGATGAGACCATTTAGAAAAGTGTAACCAATTCTTTGTTGACTCGGTGCAAATTAATTTGGGCGTGGACAATAGATATTCACACTCCTTCCTATTCCCTTTCTCCTGTTTTCTATCTCCCATTTATTTTCCTCTTGTTCCTCATATTCCCCCTCTTGTTCCTCACACCCCCTCTTGTTCCTTACACCCCTCTTGTTCCACACCCCCCTCTTGTTCCACACCCCCTCTTCTTCTTCACACCCCCTTCTTCCTCCCCCCCTTCCCCTCTCTCACATTCCCTTTACCCATCTCTTATTGAACTTGAAAAGTAATAATAAGTATTCGATGAGGCTCAGCTTTCTTTGCTCCCTTATCAGCAGACCTGTTTATATATGAATCAATGAAGCAGAATTGACTCGAGAAGACGAATACACTTGTTGTTGCCTTCAACTCGATCGTTTAGATACATCGACGACGACAACGTATTATCAATTAAAAATAGTTACTTCCATTCATATGTCGACTGGATATAGCCCAGTGAACTTTAAATAAAGGACACTACAGAGTCTATCACATCTGTTTCATTTCTTGATGTTTTACTGACTATGGACAATTAGGGCTACACAACTAACACATAACTCAGCTTTTCCATCGTCAACGTCCTTATTTGTGTATAAAATTCCGCCAACGGCATATGGTGTTTACATTTCTCAATTTATTCGATACTCAAGCGTATGCAATAATGATTAGAAGTGAATAATATTAAATACTGCAAAAATAAAACAGACAATTGTTTGGCAATCATGATGTTATGTGTCATGAAGTCTTCTTTTCCGGAGAGGAATTTAATAAAGAAAGAAAACTTTTGTAAAGTTTGAATTCAATCTTTTTAATGTCTGTATTAAAACAAATTCCCCAAATTACGCCACAATTATATAAAATGTTATCAATTTTGTGCTTAGATTGCCACATGTAATAAGAGGTACAAGCATTTATACCTGTGATGTCTCTTATTGGTAGCTATAATTTTAATTTGAAAAATCCATGTATTCACAAAGCATAATTCTTTTTTAAGGGAAAAAGAAATTCATTGTAAATTTCTTAGTCGAAGAAAGGTAAATATATATACATATATACATATATTTTTACTTTGTAATCTTATTTGAAAGCATTTAAATCTTAAGTAAGAGAAGCAGGAAAATTGAGGAATTAATCACCTCAATGCTTTTTACTTTTACTTTCATGGGAGTTTTCCCTGAAAGCTGACACTAATAAAAATTTTTATATTTTTTATGTTACAGATTGTTTTCTTTATTTGATCATATTTAATTTCACTATACTATTTTAGATCATAATATGATCCATATACTATTATATAAAATCTTTATGTTTTGTCTCTCTGAAACAATTTAATTGGCTTAGAATGAAAGCAACAAGAGTGATAAAGGACTCAATTTATCATTGAATGTAATTTGTAATCCTGTGTCATAATGTTAATTAAATACAATATCAGAGAGTTTCTCTCAAAACTTTATAACTGTTTTGAATGCTTATCCTTATTAAAGAAATTTCAGGGAAATAATTACAGGGCAGATTATGCTATAATCACTTAGGTATAGATGACGTTAGCTAACGTAAATTTACTATTTAATTGATTAACAGATATAACAGTAAAGTGGGACAAAAGTTAAAAAGTGAGTATTTAATATAAAAGCATGACCGAGTTCCTGATAAAATTTAGACGCTTATCTGGCGTCTTTCAGATTATTATTTCAGATTACAAAGATTGAGAGAGAGAGAGAGAGAGAGAGAGAGAGAGAGAGAGAGAGAGAGTACTGCTGTGTTCCACATTTTTATAGTTTTTACCATTATATAGTTCTAATCAAAGTATCCGAGGTTTTACTATAGTGTTTTTACTATGGATTGACCTACCTATCCTTCATTTTCAGTCCCTTTATGATAATTGATTGATTTTGTATTTAAAGGAAACGTTACTTGTATTTCTAAATGTAGTGCCCAAAATTTACATTATTGATATGAGCTTTAAGAAATATCATGGCTTTATATCTCAATTAAGCTATAGAGTAAAGGTTAATGAAGCAAAATGAAGATTTCAGATTCCTAATAAACCAAAGTCACAAAGTAAAATATGAAAGTATTAAATATTTTATGGTTTACTATAGCAAATCATAGTATATTTGTTAAGAGAGAGAGAGAGAGAGAGAGAGAGAGAGAGAGAGAGAGTCAAACTTCAGTGGAACTTTTACCAATATAAATGAATAAATATTTAAACCAATGGTTTATTTATTATTCTTTTGTAACTTGCATTTGCTTACACTTTAACAGGTTTAATTTCACCTTGAAGTATTTGATTTCAAAGTAAAATTGGATGACACAAGCAATTGCAACATAGACTGAATTTAAATGCACACGTTAAGTTAATAAAGACGTAATAATCAAACTTGAATTGCGCCAAATGATTTTATACACAAATAAATATTCCGCTTTTACTTTAAAAATATGATTTTAAATAAATTATTTCGATTTATTTGTTTGTTTGGTTACTTGAATGATTAAAAACTTTTATGCAGACAATAAATTTAAAGATTTTAAAAAAAAACTTTTAACACAGAGTAACAAACCATAACCACTACTAATTATAAGAGATTGACAATAGCAAATCAGCTGTTGTTTAGCTTAGATTGGAATTTCTTTGTATGTTCAATGCTATAATTTTCCTTAGATTTTCATATTTGTTTTTAATTTGTTAACCTTACAATGGTACTTTTTTAAGCTAGTTGTCTTTTATTGCATCGTTTTCTGTAATGCCCCATTGTACAGCACTTAACATTGACCCAATTATGTGTAAATTATTGTCGAAAAACATTTAGAAAAAAAAATTTCTAACTCACCATCTGTAGGATATAGGGGAAAATCACACTCCGCCATCACTAATGATCCATGAGCATTATGAGAAAAAACTGAAAACGCTGCTGCTGCTGCTGCTACGAGGACTTAAATGACTCAGGGGTCTCCTAAAGATTGATGTATCTATTTCTCGGAGACGATTCGTTCAACTCAATCTGGCCAATATCTCTGTATCACGCATCAGTCACCTCATATAGGAGCTCCGTATGTAGATTACTTCATTCAGTTTTATTGTTACTCGACAGATTATGTAAGAGCACACTAAAAATAGAGTACATTCGTAATGTAAGTAAATTATCCCATAATATTACCGTGATTGTTTTTAATTTCAGCAGTCTCGCAACAAAAAAAGTATTCCTGTCATAAGAAATTTTTTTAAAAAAGGGATTGAAAGCATAAGGTTTAATTTCTATGTATGAAACTCTACACTTCAGAATAAAACGTCCTTTAAACTGTGGCAGATATCAGCACTATTTCAGATACGATGATTTTCTTTTGTTAAATTATTTTACATACAGGTCACAAAAATCATGCTTCAAAGATATTTATTACATAGACAGAGTTCTGTCCTAGTTTGGGCCAATGTGATTTTTTTTCAAGTGTTTCATCATTTGCTCTAAAGTTAACTTATAAACATGAAAAACTTTTCTACAGTCAATTCTCCCTATTTATGTAAAAATATTCCATATCACCTACATATGGTGTTTTTGTCTTCCAACTGTTTCTATATTAGCATTCAAGAGCGTTTTTCGAGTGTCTTCACAGTTTAAATAGAGATAAGTTACTGACAAATAATTTAACGTTACAGTTTTTAAACAACCGCCGTTTAAAAGTAAGCTTTACGCAAATCCTATTATCATTATAATGACCTTGTTCACAATGGATGTTTCCCATCCACTGTTAATTAGGTCATTGTTTTCATGCCATTTGAATTACGAATTCCTCGATTTACCTCATCAATACAGAGGGTTCCCAGTGGGTATGACCGGTCGACAGGGGATATTTATTCCTCATAGGCATCCGATTCCACCTCTGATGTTTCAAGGGGTGTGTGTATTTTGTCCTGTTCACCTTTCGTATTCTTCACTGGATATAGAGATTTATCAATATTCGTAATATTCACATTTCACGTATACATTTATAAAATATTGTATTTTAAATCTAAAAAAAATAGTTTTAGGCATGACAAAATAACTAGTATAATAAAAGGTTAACAAAAAGTAGTGGCACAGAGAATGTTGTAAAAGTGCCATTTAAATTTTCGCCCAAAAAGTAGAGCAAGACGTAAAGCCAAAAAAGTAAAGCCAATTCCTTTGGGAGATCAAAAGAATCGACACCTAATTAAATATAGCATTGTTTCCCTTTTATCCTTTTATTTATTTTTTCCTATCACGTTCACCCGAAAGTTCATTTCATTAATCAGATAAAATATTTATGTTCTTCACATGATAAGTGATTTCAAAATAAGAGTGACCTGAAACTCTCTCTCTCTCTCTCAATATATATATATATATATATATATATATATATATATATATATATATATATATATATATATATAGAGAGAGAGAGAGAGAGAGAGAGAGAGAGAGAGAGAGAGAGAGAGAGAGAGAGAGAGAGAGAGAGAGAGAGAAAGAGAGAGTACATCTCTATTCTAAAAAAAAATACCAGGTACTATTGTCTAGTACTATTGACATAAAATCCATTGAAGATAAAATGTAGTGATGGTTGATTGGGGTTGACATCTATTTATGATACATTTATATCGTACTGTATCGTTAGTGGACGAAACTGTGTAATTGGAAAACATCATTGTCCATTAATAATAAAAGTTTTATCATTATAGTTTAAGTGTTAATATCTATGGTTAAAAGGCAGTATACTAATGACCTCTCTATATCATTAATGGTGTAAAGTTTTCCCTTAATGCAACATTGCATCCTAAGTGGATTATAGCTTTTGAACTTCTTCCTATTAATATACACTGAACAAAACTTCCAGAAGTCCATTAGTTAACTCATTTGGAAAAAAAAAATGTTGAATTTAAATTTTTCCTACATTATTAAAACGACAATATCCACGAGTAACTTTGTCGTAATATCAAATCATGTGATTTTCAAGAAAAATAAAAAAAAGTTCAACCTTCAACAGTGATTACTTCTGAAAACTGGATACTTGGTTATTTTGTAAGATGATAAAATTGTCACGTTTTGTCAGGCATTGTACATATATGTAAGGCATTTAAAAACAGATTTTACATCCAATTTCATATGAATTTTTAGACTTAAATTAATTTTTTAACTTTCTAACGAATGGAAAGTTCACAAAACCTTATTCTTCCTTATGCATGTTTTAAACAAGGTGGAAATTTTATTTTCTAATTATTTATGACACTATAGAATCTATGAATTATCAAAGAAGATCGATGAAATTGCTCTTGTTGAAAATTTCAGTTAAACATCTTTAAAAACACATCATCCTAAAAATGTCTTTCCTTCAGACGACCTTTTTAACAATATGGACCAATTAAAAAATATTAAAATTCATAATCAAAAGGCTTGCACGTATAAAAATGTGTCCTGAGGCAAAGTGGTCGTTGACAGAAAAATGAGATTATAATGTTAAGACATAATCGACTGTAAAATATTATTGGATTTTAAAAATATATTATTTACCAATGCCATTTAACAATAATAAATTTATGTTCCATCTGTGTATATTCAGATTTACCATTGTTTCACACGTGACGATGAGATAACACTTTCCGGATCATCACGCTGTAGGTTTTCTGAATCCATATCACCACTTCTAAAACTGATGATTTAACCTAAAGTAAAGAACGCCTTCTCAAAATTTAAAATGTAAAATTTGCTTTGTTTCTTATTTAAAAGTTATATAAGTGAGCCCAAACATTGGTTAGCTTATAATGGAGGGGTTTGGAATAAATGTTATCGTTAGGCAGCTGTAACAGTAATTTGATCCTCTCCGCGTCTCATTTGATCCGATACCTCGACAAAATATGACGTTTCTTATCAAGTTACTCTATATCATATGATATATATATATATATATATATATATATATATATATATATATATATATATATATATATATATATATATATATATATATATATATATATATATATATATATATATATATATATATATTGTCGGCACTACGTCTAAAAATAACCTCATTTTTATGTCAACGAACAATGGAAATGTGAAAGGGTATATTTGATTACTATACCTCTCTGTTGAAGTACGAAAATTCGTAAAATCTTATGATTGAAATTTTAACATCTTTTTATAATTTTTTTTTTTTTAGAAAAGAATGACATCAAATCTATCTCTATGTTACACCTAAGAAGTAAGCTATTTAATTATTTTGTACTTTATTGAACGAAGGGACTTGGAACGGTAAGTAAAGGGAGATAAATATGTACATGTGATGAGGTGTAGGTAAAGTATAGCTTCCTGTCCATCTCTACATACATGTATATACAAAAGAAACAAATCTGTAAAAGTATCAGATTTTACCAAAAAATTTAAATTTTAATGAATATAAATTGAAAATGTACACTTTGTTTTTTTTTTTTTAATAAACCTCTGTTTAAGGATAGTTTCAAAACATTGGTGTATTACACTTACACTTTTAGTCGAAAGCAAATCAGATGGAAAATAGAATGAAAAATCTCATCGTGTGACCGCACCTTTACTCACTTACATTTGCGTCTTTAAGTCATTAAAGTACCCCATGTTCTCAAGTTAAAGCAAATAATTTAAATCTTTATCTTTTCTGGAGATGTAAGCTTTTTCTGCTGTGAATAGCATTAATTCAACACAATGTTTCTTTTTAAATCTACGACCAAACTTAATAAATACGCTATAGTTTTTTTAAACTTTTTTAATTATAACATAAATGTAAATTCAACTAATTAAGGTATCTTTAAATAAATAGATTTCACGATGGTTACAGCTTACATCAGTATAAATTCAACCAAAATACATAGACATTATGTTAAAGAGTATAATACATTGTAAATATGTAACTACAAAACTTGCCATGAACTTTTGTGGGTCCATATTTAATGCCATGTACATATATTTGTATTGTTTGTAGATTGCTTTAAGATCTATCATTGCTCGTTATTTTCACATTTTCCTTGACACACTATTGGAAACGGTAAATTCTTCGATATCATAGTCCCTATATAAATTATTCAGAGATTGTTTTTCCATTCAAAATGACGGCCCCTGGAAAATAATGTCAATCTCAATTATCTCATACGTTAATACATTTCTTACTCAATGAATTCGGTAAGCAAGAGCATGTTCTCGGTATAATCAATTTTGAAATTAAGGCAGGCTAAAAAATAAAAGGATGGTACACGGATTTAGAATATCTTAATATCAACATTTTACAAATTCCACGGTTTTTATAATGACCTTGTTTGCATATTCAACCTATCGCTGGTTGTATAATGACATAGCATGTTAAACATCATTTGACACCTTTAGGTTATTAGTTTCTTTCTTTCTTTTCTTTTTTTTACCAATTTGACCACAAATAATTCCGTTTACATGATCAATACAGTGCTCATGTCGGGGGGAGTTCAACAGAGGATCCTTACACCTCCTACTATGAACCTGTCCCCAACTCCGATGATTCCAAGGAATCTGGTTTTTTGTCCTGTTCACAATTCCTATTCTTACCTGGATCTATGAGATTGTTCAATGTTATCTTCACCTTTTACATCAAAGAGAAACTACACTCATTCGCGTGCTTGCATGAAACATTGAAAGTGAAAATTAAATTTTAAGCTAGAGTATAATAATGTACACTACTCATTTACAGACTCTTTTGACATAAAGAGACGAATTGATGAAGCCTGTGGCGATTTTATCTGATAATGACATAGATCGACGATCAAAAGTATACAAAAAAGGAATACTTAAGTTTAATTTTGAAAGTTATCCACTTAAATTAATACTTCACTCAAAGTACTACAATAATTCATTAAAAACAAATAAAGAAAGAAAAATCAAGAACCAGAAATACAACTCGTCTGCGGTTTTAAAAGATCTCAAGCAATTAGAGGAATTTAAGTTTAAATTTTTAATTTTTTGTTTGTTTGACAAAAGAATCAATAGATTT